AAGGGGCCATCTTCCTCTAATTCACAGGAATTCAGCATATGCAGCTTGCATTGTGATGGGGTTTTACCTACATTACATTATCTGCTCCATATATATGCATATGTATATATATGCATATATATATATTATATATATACTCTCCCCCCCAACAAAATATGCAGACAAAAAGAAGATTAGAAAGAAGACTTTATAGATTAAATAAGGATGAGTGAGGTGTATTAGCAAATGATCACCTATGAATTAATTAAATTGCCTAGATAGTTGATGCTATCAGCTGTTTGTTTTAGGTATGTTAATGGTATCATCACAGCCTGTTCTAGCTAGCTTCTCTGTTGCCATGGTCAAAACACTGACCAAAGCCGGGCAGTGGTGGCGCACGCCTTTAATCCCAGCACTTGGGAGGCAGAGGCAGGCGGATTCCTGAGTTCGAGGCCATCCTGGTCTACAGAGTGAGTTCCAGGACAGCCAGGGCTACACAGAGAAACCCTGTCTTGAAAAACCAAAAACTACTGACCAAAAGGAACAGTCTTTTGTACTGCTACCTTGGGGAAGTTGGCCATCATTTTATGAGGACTGGAGCAGGCAATGGAGAGCCTCACGTGAAAGTGAAAAACTTGCCATTATCACCTTATCACTCACGCCTGAGTGTGTCAGAGCCCACTGGCACAAGTTTAAACAGTCGGGGGGGGGGGGGGGAGTGAGGATGATTATAGAAAAAGTAGAAAAAAAGACGAAGAGACAAGAGATAGACTTGTTAGGGCTGTTAGTGAATACCAAGGCAACCCACCAGTTTATTTTGCATAGCCTTTTTATACCCTACAATGCAGTGGGAAAACAAACTACAAGCCAGCAGAAACAATTGTTTCTTATCCAGAGCCCTCCTGCACTGCTCCTTCAACCAAGGTCAATAGAACTTTTAGCCCCTGACCTTGAGTTTCAAGTTTGGTGGTCAATTAACCAACTGCAGAACCAGCCCTCTAGTAATAGACTTAACATTTTGGCCAATCAAATACTCTTTCTTTTTCTCCCCCCCCCCCCCCCCAGACAGGGTTTCTCTGGGTAGTCCTGGCTGTCCTGGAACTCACTCTGTAGACCAGGCTGTCCTGGAACTCAGAACGCCTGCCTCTGCCTCCCAAGTGCTGGGATTAAAGGCGTGTGCCACCACTGCCTGACTTCAAATATTCTTTCTTTGTTGGGCTTCCACAAAGACTTTCCAAAACGCCTCTCCATGTCTGTCCCCTGTAGTACGGAGCCACTTGCAGTCTACAGCTGCCCTGTTCGTGATTCTTCCAACACTCAAGACAAGCTCATTAACATTTCAATGTGTTTTGCTTATTCATTCTTTTTTGAGAGGGACGGGTGCTCTTATACAGTCCGGTCTCTCTTTCTCCTGCCTTAGCCCACAGAGTGCCTTGGTTACAAACATGCATTGCTACATCTAAGTTTCTCTTAAGCAACCGTTAAGCTTCCTTACTCTTCTGTTTGCCTGAATCTGGGCCAAGTGCTGCAGCAAGTTCAGAGTAAACTAGATGTGAAAGCTCGTGCCTGTAATCCTAGCACTGGGGACGCTGAGACAGGAGGACTACTATGAGTTTTAATGATAGTGTAGTAAACTCTAGTCCAATCTAAGACTGAGACTGACTGAAAACTTTCTGTCTCCCTCCTCTCCCTCCTCTCCCTCCTCTCCCTCCTCCCCTCCTCTCCCTCCTCTCCCTCCTCCCCCTCCTCTCCCTCCTCCCCTTCCTCTCCCCCTCCCTCTCCCCCTCCCCTCCCCCTCTCCCTCTCCCTCTTGCCCCTCCTCCCTCTCCCTCTTCCTTCTCCCCCTCCTCTCCCTCCTCCCCTTCCTCTCCCCCTCCCTCTCCCCCTCCCCCCCCCCCCCCCCCTCTCCCTCTTGCCCCTCCTCCCTCTCCCTCTTCCTTCTCCCTCTCCTTCTCCCTCTCCCCCCCCACACACAAAGGTAATAAAAATGGAAGAGGAGAAATAACCTTTTTCTGACTCTTGGTAGGCTAGTCTCTATTTCTACTTGATTTATATTTTTAAAAATCAAAGTAATAAACTCATGTATTTGGCACATACATTTGCTCAGTGTCTTTATATGGAAGAGGAGGAAGCCACCCCTATATTTGTCTGTATGTCTCTGTACCTTTTCCTTATAGAGAAAAATTTCCAGTTAGCTTTCCTTTCAGGATGAAAACTTGCTGGTCAGAGGCAGGCCCCATGGGAAGATCCCTGACAACACAGCACTCTCTAAACCTGAGACCAGAGTGGATCTACTCAGTTGTAGCCAGAGATTTTTGGTTTGCCTTTGCTAAATACTCTATGCTAAAAGAGTATTTTTCACATGCCAGGCTTCAGCTTCTTCTGAGTCTGGGTTTTGTCTTCCTCCAAGCTGACATGCTCTTTATCTCAGGAGATTCCCACTTGGCAAGAATGAAAATACCCAGGTCCCAGCAAGCCACCAGTGACAGTCGGAGGGGCAAAGAAAACAAGCAAAAGTACTTTTCAGAACCTCAGAGGCATGGTCTAATGATACCTGCAACCCTAGTCCTGATCGTGTGTCCCCCTGGAGAGAAGTGATCGCTTTGAATCAAGTCTCCTTAAAAGGGGAAGACTGAGTGCTGCTACAATAATGAAGCTTGAAATTAAAACTCAAGAGGTGCAGTGTGAAGAGTACCAAGAAACCAAGACTCTACACGACACTTCTTCCTCACTGTCTGGCCAACTGAGCAGAGGTTGCGACACCCCAGAGCAAGCCCAGGGCCTCTTCCTGGAGCTGTACTTGAACTAAATCAGAGACTCGGTAAGGGGAAGCCCTGAGTTCTTGATTCTTCTCGGATGACAGAATGAGAAAGAAGGGACCTCTGCTGAAATGATGACAAGAGGATTTAGGTGACTGAACTCTGGCCTAGGGCAAGGCTTCAGACAAACTTCAGGAGTAGCTAATTCCACTTTCAGGTTTCCGCTTCTCTTTGCTTGATTGGAACCATTGCCTTGAGGTTCTTGGCAAATCAATACATTGTCTCAGGAGTGAGACTCCATGGGTAGCTTTGGATCCAGAGAGGCAAAAGCAAGGGTGGGCCCTGCAGGGCTCCAGTGATGTGACTGAGCCTCAAGTGCACCATGATCTTCTTTCATTTTTCTCAGTTGCCCATCCCCTCCTGCCAAGGTCTCACTGTGTATCCCAGGCTGGCCTAGTACTCACTACATACACAGGGCTGCCCTTGGACTCACGGAGTTCTCTGCCCCTCTAGTACTGGGATTAAAGGTATGTCCATCATACTTGGCCAATGGTCAACTTTTGTTTTCCAGATCACAGAGACAATGTGACCAGATACCTCACCCTCACACTGTCATGCCTTACCCGACATGATCGACTGCACCTTCACGCTGAAATAAAAATAATTGTAGTACCCACTTACAGAATTTCAGAGCCAAGGGGCACTTAAAATCTCAGTGGCTGGAAAAGGATTGACAGGGCTAGGGAGAGAGTTTAATCCATAGCAACCCCTCTCCCCTCCCCCACCTATACTCACACACACACAAAGCTGGACACTATGGCCTACACTCACAATCATAGCCCTGGGGATGCTGAGATAGCCAGATACCTGGGCCTTGCCAGCCTAGACTAATTGTTGAGCTCAAGGCCGGTTAAGAGAATCTGTTTCAAAATAAACAAGGTGGGCAATGCCCACCTGAGTGGGAGAAGAGATATCTTGAGTTTGTCTTCTGGCTTTCACATGCAAAATTCATGTGTACCTCCCACCACACACACCTGCATGTGCACCTGCTCACCCAGGAACATGTGCACACACAAGCCCAGAAAACGATAATGACTTTTTGCCTCATATTCTATAACAGAATTTTAGTAGGCACTCAAAGATCGCCTTGACTAAAATGCACTGACTCCTCGTCTGGATTCACAAAGTAACGAGGAGCCCAGCAAGAGCCTGGCATCCCTGCCTTCAATTTCTATCTGTATCCTGTGAGCAATCTGTTTACCTGTGTGTGAGCTACTCAAGGAATATGTGGTGGTTTGGATCAGAAATGCATCCTCCCCCCAACCCCCCATCCCTCGCTGGTCCTCAGTTGACAGCACTGTTTTGAGCTTTGTGGATGGATGCAGCCTTGCTGAAGGATGTGCAACACTGAGTGAGGCTAGACTTTGAGAGGTTAAAGCCTTGCTGCTGCTTTCTGTTTACTCTCTACTTCCTGATTCTGGTGGAGATGTGATCACTCAGCTTCCAGCTCCAGCTGCCATGCCTGCCTCTTGATGCCATGCCCACTCCCTACCATCATGGCCTCTTATTCCCTCTGCAATGATAAACCCAAATAAATTCATTCTTCTACAAGTTGTCTTGGTCATAATATATGATTTATTTATTCATTTAATGCATATGTGTACACTTTTGCTGTCTTCAGACACATCAGAAGAGGGTTTCACATCCCATTATAGATGGTTGTGAGCCACCATGTGGTTGCTGGGAATTGAACTCAGGATCTCTGAAAGAGCAGTCAGTGCTCTTAACCACTGAGCCATCTTTCCAGCCTGGTCATGATATTTTTTTTTTTAACAGCAACAGAAAAGTAACAAATACAGAGTATCTGTATAAAATCTTGTGATACTTATTTCATTCCTCCATACCAGCTGAAGCCATAAATGTGTGTGTGTTAGTGTCATCTTTCTCAAATGTCCTGTTCCAGACTTACAAAGCACACCTAAAGATAGCGAGCTGTAGCCAGGTGGTGGTGTTGCCTACCCTTAATCCCAGTACTTGGGAGGCAGAGGCAGGCATATCTCTTGAGTTTGAGGCTAGCCTGGTCTATACAGCAAGTTCCAGGACAGCCAGGGCCATGCAGAGAAACCCTGTCTCAAAAAGCAAACAAACAAAAAAAGCAAAAAAAAAAAACTGAACCAAACAAACAACAAATAAATTTCCAGTTGTCCTAAACCTGCAGTTGTCTTGGATTTCAAGAACATCAGAACCTTGATAACAGACCATCTCATCCCCTCCCAAGAGGACAGCCATCTACAATGGTGAAACTGCACCTTGGAGCAGGAATGACTGTGTTTCACAAGCAAGCAGGAGGAATGCCAAAAGGAGTCAACTGTGCCTGCAAACCCCAAGCGATCCCAGCAAAGAGCTACAAGTCAGTGGGATATCATCTTTTATTTGTTCATATGCACCCACACAGGTGGATTTAGTCCTCTCTAAATTCAATTCACTCCTTCTGTTCCAACATCCTAGGGATCTTTTAAAGCAGATTTGGGGCCGGGCAGTGGTGGCGCACACCTTTAATCCCAGCACTTGGGAGGCAGAGGCAGGAGGATTTCTGAGTTCCAGGCCAGCCTGATCTACAGAGTGAGTTCCAGGACAGGCAGTACTACACAGAGAAACCCTGTCTCGAAAAAACAAAAACAAAAACAAACAATAAAAGAAAAAGCAGGTTTGGTACATCCAGCCCCACTAGAGTCTTCCTTTGATAGGACAAGACTCCCTCAACATTCCATTATTCCGTTACTTCTAGTGTCTGGGAAGGAAGAGCAGAGTCCGTGATAATTAGGAATGCATTGCCTTCATGTCAGGCTGCCACAGAATTGAATTAGGGAAGCTCAAAAACAATTGAGGCAGAAGGAGGAGGGAGGAACGGATGGAGGAGTGGAGCTCTGTGGCAACCAGCCCGATGACCCACTGCAGTGGGAGCAAGAATGTCCGATAAGTCCTTATAGTGTTTACTGATGCTAAATGTGAAGGTAGATGACCTGGCTCGTTATCTGTCATGGTAACTACTCAGTAGTCTGTTCAATATTTGAGTCCAAAGAATCTGAGTTCTGACAGAGCCTGCAAGCTCTCAGGATCAGGATGTAGGTTTCTTTGAACTTTTTTATTTTGCAGGCGTAGACGATAGGGTTCATCATGGAGTTCGCATGAGACAACAGGATGCCCAGGCACATTGCAACTTCTGGTATCGTTACACCAAAGTAGGAAACAAAGTTGATGATGGACAAAGGCAGCCAGCACAACGCAAACAAGAAGAGAACCAGAAACAGGGACTTAGCTGTCTTGAACTCTCGTCCATAAAATGCACGTGTCTCTCTGAAGCCAGACAGGTTTTGACTGAGTTTGTTTCTGATGATGTAGAAGATGTCCAGATAGATGACACACATGACAAGCAGGGGGATGAGGATCCAGGTTACAAAGCTGAAGAAGACCATGTAATCCAAACTGACCACGGTACGGAATTTGCAGGAAAGGGTGGTGGTATTTTGAGAGAGCTCTAAGGTCACTTTTCTATTCCAGCCAAACATGGGGGTCAGTCCCACCAGGAAGGAAACTAGCCAGCAAAGGCCCAGGAATAGCCATATTCTTCTTTGAGTGGTAACCGTTTTATATCTGTTTAAATGGGGTGGGGGGGTGGAAATGGTGAGTTCACAACAAGAAATGACTACCTGGGAGAAAAGGAGAAAGACAAAGTAAGCTCTCCCAATTCCCTAATCTGCTGAGGTGAAACACCCATGGTGAAATGTCACTCTGACTAAATTCCACTAGATACAAAGACAAAATGAGAATAGAATGATCAGAGAAAAATCCAGAAACTCCTCTGGAGAATTTAAAAACAAAATAACAATCGAGAATTACCAGCAGTCTGTTTCCAAGGAACAGGTTACCTACATGCCTCCACTCAACCATGGCTCCAAGAATTTTTTTTTTAATTTATGAATTTTATTTTATGCATGTGAATGTTTTGTTTGCATGTATGTTTGTATACCATGTGTGTGCCTGGTGCCCAGGGAGGTCAGAAGAAGGAAGGTCTGGATCTCCTGTAACTAGAGTTATGGACAGGATGGTGCTGGGTGCTGGGAACGGAACCTGAGCAAGAATAACAGACATGTTTATCTACTGAGCCACCTCTCCAGCCCTTCCCTGTCCTGTGGTGTAAGAGTTACTCTTAAGTCCTGGGAGTTCCAAGCGGATGAGAATCTCCTCCAAGCCTGCTGGTGTGCTGTGCTCTGTGTGGTCTCGGTTGGCTATTGTACAGGACTCACAAGCCGCACTACACCCCCACACTTCTATCTTTCCCTTCCCCTTTCCACCTGGGCATCTATTCTGGTGTTTGAGTTAACCAATCAGAGTTTTGTTACGTTTATGTTGAAGTGTTTCAGAGCCTTTAATAGTTTCATCCTGGGGAATCATCATTTCTGCTTAAACAATCCTTCCTATATAGCCTAAAACAGACTACAAAAGAATGAAACTAAGGCTTATCTCAACTAAACCTCATAGCTAACTAGAGACATTTCATAACAATCTCTATTTTATTGATGGTGGTAGCATAGCTACCATTTACTAAACACAGGCTCTAGGCAGGGTTTGTCTGAGAACTTTACACTTACTGGCTTTATACTTAACTTTATGCTTAACTTTATAAAGGTGAAATTATTATCTTCATTGTATAGATCTTAAAAGATGTAAAACAGCATTAGGTAATGTTCAGAAGCCGGAAGTGGCAGCGGTACAATTGGATGGAGGTGAGCCTGGTTTAGATGTTCAGAACCACTCTGAGAGGTGGAGACTGAAGCTGAGAAATAATGTGCCCAGTGTCAGATCACAAGATCAGGGAGAGGAACCCAGACTTGTGTATAGCTCCTCTGTAGTTTTTATGCTATGTTCTTCCCCCAAGAGAAACCAGAAGAAACCAGGGAATGTGATTTCTCACACACGTTTTTGGACTGTCCTCTTTGCAGGGTACAGAAAATGATACCACCATTTTGCAAACAAGAACATCTTTGTCTCAGGAGAGTTTTACATTTCATTAAAAGAATAATATACATCTAAGAATCCTTTTTAAACATTAGGACAGACTCAGACAGAAGTGGCTTTAAAATTTTACATCTGCAAAGTCACACGCCCATCTGTTTATCTCTCCTTATGCCCTGTCTTCCACTTCTCCTAAAACAAGATATTCTATCTAATAGATGGCTATCACTTTGAAAACTTGAGATCAGATTTTTTTTTTTAATTAAAAGATACATCACAGCCGGGCGGCAGCACTTGGGAGGCAGAGGCAGGCGGATTTCTGAGTTCGAGAGTTCAAGGCTAGCCTGTTCTACAGAGTGAGTTACAGGACAGCCAGGGCTACACAGAGAAACCCTGTCTTGAAAACCCAAACCAAATAAATAAATAAATAAATAAATAAACAAACAAATAAAAGATACATCACATTTTCACCATCTTTGGCTACCCTGGCCAGAAAGCAGACACCCATGTTCAATGGAGAAGAGCTCGGAGTGCCCCCTCCCCCCCCCCCCCCCCCTTTTCTATTCCCATGCCTCAGTTATTCATGTCTAATGTCTTCACAAACCATGTGGTACAAAGATATTCACTGCCCTTTTTAAATATCAAGGGCCAGTTTTAGCTCATTTCCCTGGAAAGGGTCTGGGAGTCAAATGTGGTAGAGCTCTACTTTCCAGCCTTCTAACTACTGACCCACCCCTTCTTCAACCAGGTTACCTGACCGTCAGCTTGACCCGCAGGTATCGGTCTATGGCAATGGCCAGCAAGGACATGATGGAGGCATGGGTGAAGATCAGAAGCACACAGGACATGAAAAGGCAGGCATAGAAGTGCATCTCGACTTCCAGTTTGACAGTAATAGCCAAAGGTATGACCAGCACCCCAACAGCAATGTCAGCCAGCGCTAGGGAGACGATGAAATAGAACGTGGTGGTCCTCAGAGTGGGGTTCAGCTTGACCACCCAGATGACCAGCATGTTGCCCACTACAGCACAGATTCCAATGGCAACCTCTATGGTGATATAGGTGATGTTCAACAAGTCATTTGCCATGGTATTGTTAGCTTTCATGCTGTCTCAGAAAAGCTTCAGGTGGAAGCTTCTGTTGGTTCTTCAGCAGGATGTGCATGAGCCAGTGGACCTAGCTCTTGTCAGACATCTGCCCAGAAGTTAAAATGTAGCCACAGTCCAGAGAATTCACAACTTGCTGATTCCTTCTGGTGTGATGCTCTCTTAGAGAGTCTTCTCAGAAAGGGCCCTATACAGGACCATCAACCTCAGCCACGTATCCGTGCCTTCCCAATAACCTGGAGGACACAGTTCTATGAAGCCAAATCTGAGAGTGCCGCTGTTCTTACTTCCCCAGGCAAACAGAGTCAGGGCTTCTGCTGTCCCCTGGGCCCCAGAGAACTTTCGAGCTCCATCAAGATAAGCACCCCTCTTTAGAGTGTTTCAAGAAGTGAGATAGTCCAAGAGGAAGTACAGGGCCAGGAACTCTCAGAAGAAGAAAAAAAAAAAACAGATGGAAAGAGCATAGGAGGCTGGCCTGAGTCACATGGCTCAAAGAGGAGATTAGAGCTAGGGTCTGTTACTAAAAGCTGACAGTCTCAGCTACATAGATGGCTAAGGCAGGGGGATTACAGGTTTAAGGCCTGTCTTGGTTACAGAGTTAAGGCTAGCCTAAGTAACTTAACATGTCTCAGGAAGGAAGGAAGGAAGGAAGGAAGGAAGGAAGGAAGGAAGGAAGGAAGGAAGGAAGGAAGGGAGGGAGGGAGGGAAAGGAAAGGAAGAAACAAATAAACAAACCAAACTTCAAGTGAGGGTGTGGGGAGTCAAAGATATATCTCAGAAGTAGGATGATCAGCTGACTTGCATAATCAGGCTCTGAGTACCACCCACACCACAACGGATACACACACACACACACACACACACACCACATGCAAGTGGTAGGGAGAAATCAGAAATCATTAAGGGCCCAGATAAGCTGTGGGTAGGACTGGGTAGAAGAGATGGAAACACTAACCATGTAATATTTCCACCCTCTGCCTGCTTGGCACAAAGATCTTGTGATAGAGAGAGAAAATTGTGGTGCATGTCTTTAATCCCAGGACTGGGGAGACAGAGGCAGGCAGATCTTTGTGAGTTTAAGAGCACCCAGATCAAACCTAAAAAATTCAGAACAATCAGGAACAAAACTGAAAACAATTTTTACACACATGTTTGTATGTGTGTGTTGATGTGTATGGTGTTCATGTGTATGCACATTTGTGTAAGGTGATAATAGGGGTCAGAAAAGGACATCAGGTCCCCGTCTATAAGAGCACCAGGCACACTTAACCACTGAACCATCTCTCCAAACCTAGTGTTTAAGTGGGATTTGTTTGTTTTGTCTGTTTGTTGTTTTATGTTTCATCAGCCTCCTGAGTGGTCCTTCCTCTTACTTCTGCTGTAATTGCTTTCTTTCTCTCTTCTTCAGGGGGGAAGTTACAGAGAGCAATTTCTACCAAGAGACAAGGAAGAGTCTTCCTTACCAAAAAACAATTGGAATCTTACTTGGTTAGTTTCTATAAAAATCTCTATCCTTTGCCACAGAGGGCAGCTTCTGCATTAACAACAACAGAAACAAGATGGCAGTCCATGTTTTGTTACATTGAAAAGCTAGGCAGGGGGCTGGAGAGATGGCTCAGTGCAGAGGTCCTGAGTTCAAATCCCAGCAACCACATGGTGGCTCACAACCATCCGTAATGAGATTGAATGCCCTCTTCTGGTGTGTCTGAAGACAGCTACAGTGTACTCATAAATAAAATAAATAAATTTAAAAAAGAAAAAAGAAAAGCCTGAAGCTAGGCAGGCAGGCTGGAGAGATGGCTCAGCAATTACAGTGAACGCTCTTCCAGAGGAAAATAGCCGCCCCTTCCCATGCAGCAATGTTATTGCCAGATGCCAGAGGTTTCTGCAACTGGAAGGGGGAGAAGGGCGAGGGGACAGAGAGAAGAGAGAGAGAAGAGAGAGAGAAGAGAGAGAGAAGAGAGA